ATATATATATATATATATATATATATATATATATATATATATATATATGTTTGGGGAATATGTGGCTGTTATGTACCTAATATTATGTATAGAACCATAAAAAACTACATAGTTTTAACAAAATACAATCAAATATCTCTACCATCTTTCTTGCATCCTCTTTTAGAGCTTATGATAGGCTTTGTACATATCTTTTATGGAGTTTTAAAACTTTAATTTTGTACCATAAAACGTCTATAAGAATACTTTACCAACTATCTGTAGGTCTTTATATTGAAATTTAATATAGAAAACTATAGTGAAAGATTGAAAGTGTTCATTAAAAAACCCAATAAACCTCTTTCTATAACCCATAAAAAAGAATAATGCAAGTATACCTAAGGTAGATGTCGTATTAAGTTATGAAGCCTACTAGAGGTTTAATAAAAATAATGTGACAACCCGAAAATTTCTACCTTGAAAGTCAATTCAATCAATCGAAAGTCAGACTTGTTTCTATTGCCTTTAGCCTTGTTTAGGGTTTGTTTGAGAGTTCTAAGCCTAGTACACTCAAGGTTTGTGTGTTAGGAAGTGTTAGCTTGAGTTCTTTAAGTTGCAATTGAGCCGAAAACACCATCAAAAGGAGTTCACGAACCTATGAAGGTTCATAGCCGTGAACAACTTTCATATATATAGGAAATTGGCTCATTTTCTTCACTTTTTCAACTCCTTCAACCCTAGCCGTGAACACAACCCATTCTCTCTCAACTTCTTCAACGGTGAACACTACTCAAAGCTACCAAAACGTAAGTATCTCTTCTATCTTCTTGTTGTCCATTAGAAACACTAAGATTCCACTTTGAAACAACACTTCAATGCATGATCTTCAAGAGTTCACGGCCGTGAACCCTTCATGGGGCCGTGAACCCTTCATAGATTCATGCATGGGCCGTGATCACTTCATCCATGACCGTGAACCCTTCAAAGGATCACGGTTGGTCCATGAACACATCATGTGTTCTATGGTCGTGAACCCTCCTAAGGCCGTGAACAATCCCTTGTTTGGCCGTGAACTCCTTTCATTCAATCACATGTGATTCTAACACTCCATTATGAGTGTTTCCTAGTTCCTAAGGTTGTTTCCCTTACATTTTAGTGGTTATAAACACTAATTACATGCCAATATATGCCATTATATGTCATTTAGGACTCATTTGTGTCTCGGAACTTCATTCGTGGAACTTCTCATCCTTAATCGAATCTTCAATTGAATCACCCACATAAGGTGAGTTCATACCCCTATAATCTATCTTTTAAATGTTTTTAAATGCTTTTAAGGGGGGGGGGATACAAGTTGAACACAATGATATTGTGTAAATATTTACCTGTGATAACCATCACATTAAAAGATTTCTTATGCTTTAGTAAGTGATCAAATCAATTCATAAACTCTTTTTAAAGATGTTAGTTTGTTGTTTATAAAACTTCATTCTTAAAGTACATGCTTAACTCAATAGATAAACGAGTCTTTTCTACAAATCAGGGACAGTTCAAAACAAACATACTAGTAAACTATAATCGGTATAGTTTAGGGGTTCAGTTCATACTATAACTAGAACATGGAGGAACATACTATAACTAGAACAGGGAGGAACATACTATAACAAAACAGAAAGGAACATACTATAACAAGAAAAAGATAATACTAATGTGAAACCACTACTTCACGGCATAGCAATATACTTGTTATGTCGTGTTTTGTAACCAGAGTCTCCTGGAGGGAGAACGGGCATTGTGTGTATAGATCTATTCGGGACTGAAAATCCCGCATCCCGACTGTTCGCTACAGTTTGGCCGGCAGGCCAAAGGGTGACAAATGTCACATTAGTTTCGACGCCAGCAGGTCGTCGTGTTAAATACTAGTCAATCAGCATGGTTATAACCACATCACATTTTACCTTAATTAAACTTATTGGTTTTAAGGTAGTTAGTACTTCAGTAGTTATTTTATACAATACTATTGTATACTTTCATTTTCCCATTACATTTATATAGTGATATTCTCACATAAAAGGTAATGCAAACTATTTTCTATTAAAGATAGTCATAAAACTTGGGAAAACATACATTCTTACGAGAGAACAAACAAACAAAACAATTGGGTCTTAGTACATTCAATTAGAAGGGGGCCTATAATGCTAACTTTATGATTCCTTGGCGGATACATTAGGGATATATATTAATCGGATCCGACAGACAGTAGGATGTGTGCTTTCCGCTTCATTTCCTGTTCCTTGTTTGGTTGTGGGCTTAGAGCACATTTACACAATCTACTATCTATTCGATCTTAGCTATATATATCATGTATACACCAGGTAATCATAGGGAGTAACAGGTATGGGTCAGTTCTGAAGGGTTTTGAGCATCCTAACACTCCTATGGTGTACATGCAACCCTAGAAACATTGGATCTATGTTTTACTATGAATACATGCAAATTTGTTTTTCCAAGGTTCATAACCTATCTAGCATGGCATGGGGAACTTTAAACAAAAAGCTAGATGAATTACATACCTTTCAATAGTGAGTTGATTCCTTGGAGTTTGAGAGCCAAGCACCAATA